AACAAATCTCCGAAAATAAAAGTTCTTGGTTGATGGACGACACTTTGAGGTCGCTTGGACGTCATACACAGACAGACACGCACACACACACACTCACAGACACACGCGCGCACACACTTTTTCAGGAAAATATTAACATAGCATATATCTTATTGATTAGTATAGTATTTCAGTTATGATCAAAAGTTGACTTTCGTCAGTAGGGGAAGGTTATTTCCTCCATATTATTATTATTTATTTATTTATTTTATATTGTTAGCTGGTTGTAATCTTCCTGTTATTGTAAGGTATTAATGAACTATTAATAGAATAGAATAGAATAGAATAGAATAGAATAGAATAGCCTTTATTGTCCTTGTACAGTGTACAACGAGATTTGAGCGCTACTCACTTGGTGCAAAAAAAAGGGTAGAAGAGACAGTATATACAAACATATAACAACATATCTTTGGTGTAGTAATTGACTGTAGACGAACTTACCTCTTGGACAAGTCGGTCAGCTGCAGTGTGAGAGCTCTGGCTCTGACAGTCACCATAGTGAGGGTCATATGGAAACTGTAGTCAGGAAAAGAAACACATGTTAATTTGTTATTTATATACGTTTGTGCAGCAAGTCCCTTCAATTATTATTAAATTGTCTGACCTTTGTTTTGTCTGTTTTCACTGTGAAACTCCAGGAACGCCTGCTGTCTGAATAAAACATGACAAAAACTTTTTTCAAATTTTCAATGTCTTGCTGAAACACAGTTGGGGCATATTATTACTTTTGTACTATAAATAAGTAACAAATAAGTTATAAAACAGCTTTAAACGCCTCCTGATCACAGCTCTTGACCTACCTGGCTCTGTGTCCTCGTTGGGATTGTAAAACTCGCCTGAACTGCCCTCTCTTTCAAACAACAAGCTGGACAAAAAAGACAAGCCATTAAAACACACTTGCTTTAGGTTAAAGTTGTAGATGATGGAAGATGGGATTGGTTCTTACTCTGCGAAGGCATTATTGTTTGTGTTGTTTGCAGTTGTGGGGAAAAACTCTGTTGTGGATTCCAGGGGTGAAAAGTCAGGTGACGACTCAGGCTGACTGTCAGAGAACATGAGTGGTCTCTGGTTGGTCATCTGTGGTGACTGAGTGTTGGTGGGCTCAGTGGAGAAGGGGTCGGTCCTGTTACCAAACAGGCCATGTGTGCGCTAGAAAAATGAAGATAAACGTCTCTCAACAGGAAAAGGATAAATCCAGACTCTAAACACAGTCACAATTTAAAAAATAAACAGATTAAACTTCAACTTAATTAAGTTTTTAACATTGTTAAATGTTTTTAAACCGTCATATATTTAAAATAGTATATAATAATACGTAAAATCAAACAATATGTGGACAGCTTCGTTGTGCCTGACTTCAAAAAGTTGTTCTTCACCTGGTAAATTCTTTCCTCACTCGAGTCTTCAGCGGCTTCCTCAGTCTGCAGGTCACCAGAAATGGTCCTGTGCATCTCTGGAGCTGGCTCCTCCTCTGTGGACCTCAGACCAGCCTGGGAAAACAAAACAAGAAGGATGTGGAGTGGAAAAAAACAGCACATTGGTAGCAAAATAGGAAAAAAACTTATGTCAGTCAAGGAAGGAGGTAACTAGGATTTTAGGTCTAAAATTGTTCCTCTCATTTTGAAGGTGAACATTGGGTATAATGCTGTGGTCTCACCTGGATCTCTGGCCCTGAGGCATTCTTCTTCGTGGGCCTGTAGCCATAATACTCCTCCTGACGCTCCATGAATTTTCGGAAATGATCCTGAAGCAGGAAAGTTGCGTAGAATTTTCCCACGGTCACCTCATCATCTATAACCATGTGAGGAGGATCAGTGGAAAAAAAAACTGGACAAAAATACATGATGGTGGAATTCAAGAAGTTCAATTTGTCACACCTCCGATCGGTGGAATGACCTGGTCCAACAGCTTCATACTGGTGCGTTTCCAGATGGACTTTATGATTGCCCTCAGCTCCTCATTGGCCTGTTCAAAGTTACCTACAGTAGAAGACAACAACAACGTCCTAAATAAGGAGGAAATGAACACTTTAAATGGATAAAATGTATGGAACGTACCTTCAGTTTTGATCTTAAGAGCAGTTCTGACGAGGGCAAAAAGAGTGGCATTGAAGGTGACAGTGCCGTCACTGTTGAGGGGCATGTTCATACCAACCAGGCGCTGTGGCCAAAAACACAGAAGGTAGAAGAAAAAGAAGAAAAAAAGAAGAGAAAATAGAAGAATATAGAGGAGAAAAATTAGAAATCAACAAACTAAGTCAATGATAATTTAAAAAAAGTAAAATTCTATAACTAATGTTCAAGTCTTTATATAGGTATAATTTGGTACATCACATGTAATTTGAATGAATTAATGAATGTACCTTGCATGCTGCACGATGAGGACAGAACTTGCCAAACCCCAGTGGAGGCTGGATGCGCCGCAGCAGCGTCACCACGTCCAGATGTTTAATTCTCCCACTGTCAGAAATATGTATATCAAACACACATCAAACTTTCACCTACTCACACAGTTCAACTGGGCATTTGGACAGATCTCAGACTCACGTGGCCTCAGGGTCATATTCAGCCCAGATTTTCTTAAACTCATCCAAATGATGAGGACCCAGCAGTGACCAATCACGAGTCAAGTAGTCAAAGTTGTCCATGATGACGGCAACAAACAGGTTAAGGATCTGTAAGAGATGGAGCTCATTTATTTTCTATTTTTCTAACACATTTGGAGCAAAGAGAAAATCATGTGACATGAGTATAGTAGTAAGTGCTGAATTTTAAAATCGCTCCTTACCAAAAAGGCACAGAGACAGTAGAAGCTAAGGAAATAAAAGACAGCGAAGTTGGACCCACAGGTGTATTCCTCTCCTGGCAGGAAGTCAGACTTGGGGTCACATTTTTTCCCATACATGGATGCCATCATGACTTCCTGCCAACCCTCTCCAGTAGCACATCTAAATGAAGGAATGCAGTGAGTAAAACGCCACCAATGAGCTTCCACCCTCGTCGTCGTTCACACACACTCACCGGAATAACATTAGAACAGCCTGAGGGAATGTCTGGAAGTTGTTGTTGCGATTGATTTCGGTGCCGTCCACTAAGGCTATCTTTCCAAAGATCTGAGGGAGTGAAACAGTTCCTGTTAAGTCACACCAACTGATGCCATCAAATAACAGTTCCTGTTAAGTCACACCAACTGTTGCCATCAAATGAAAAAATATATATAAAAAAAAAAAAAGGAAAACAGTACCTGCATTCCAATGACAGCATAAATAAAGAAGAGCATCACGATGAGCAGAGCAACATGAGGAAGAGCCTGGAGACCCCCAACACAACACAAGTATTAGAATATCTCAGCAATACATTCACGTTCTTTGGGTAAATATATTAAAAAAAATATGAACGTAATGGTTTTACTATTTCTACATTGAAAGTTCTTATTTTGTTGAACTGTCAATTTTACCTTGACATTGAAAATTTGTGTCTTTTTTTTTGCTGTTTTTAATAAATTTGTATTAATAAATAAAACTTGTATAATGATAAGCAGTGTGTATGACCATACAGTGATAGTAACACTTAGTAACTGTCCAGGCTTCTACTGTATAGTTTGGCTTAAATTTTAAATATAAAATTCTCATCACATCCATATTTTGTGCTTTCCTTTATAATTCAGAGTGTCCTTTAACTTTGTCCATTTTTTAAATGTATGACCTGTGAGTGTTCCACACCTGGAAGGACTTGATGAAGGTCCACAGCAGGTTACGGATTCCCTCTGATCGATTCAGCAGTTTGACCAGACGCATGACACGGAAGAGTCGGAAGAATGTGATGGAAACAGAAGCATTTTCAGAGGCCTTTAAACAAAAGAAACAAAGAATCTAAGGAAATGTACGTATAAACAGAGAATACTGTAGTAATACCATCCTGGGAGAGGTTCACTTACTGCTATCACTTGCATAGGATTTGTCTCCTGCATTAGAAAAAAAAGATTAAAGTTCAAGACATTGGACGTTTGATTGGGTTCAGGAAACCATGAATTAGTGGCACTTTGCAAAACTATTAAAGTCAGATTAATATTCTTAGAATAGGGTTCACACACAAATATAAATCACATATTCTACCTTTTTTGACATGTTATAAAACCTGAGAAGAAAACTGCTGCAGCCTTTAACTCATGCAAAATAAACATTCTATGGAGATGTAGCTGCAAAGAAATGAACACTTTTTAATTGTTCAGCCATTAAAAGTTTTCAGCACTGATATAAAGGCCTATTTTTACAGTATATACAGCAAGAGCCACACTTGAAAAAAAAATTCACAATTTACTAAATTTACTAAACACAAAGACATACTAGGAAACACGAAGAGTTCCGTAAACCACTCGGGCAGATTAGTAGGAAACACAGTGGAGTGCTCACACAGCAAGGCTCATGCAGCAGTGCAGTGCAGTGAAGATCAGATATTTACAGCACAGCCATGGAGACAGTACAGTCCACCACTGGAGGCCAGGGCAGTCTGTGGAGGATAGACAGATGAGGAGTGAGATTCACGGATGACAGAGGGGACAGAGGGGGAGGGTGGGGGGTGAGGAGGACTATGAAAGAGTGGGACATGGTGGGATCAGAAGATGTGGAGGAAACAGAATTTGTGTCTGTGGATGAAGAGTGTGATGCAGTGCCAACAGTGACAAAAGGTGACAGGCCAGAGAAAACACATTAACACAATAATACACTCAAATCCCTAATCTTTTTTTTAACAATTCAAGAACATAAAATATTTGTAATATTTGTAATAATCAATTAATTATGATCAGTGTGAAGGAAGTGGATAAAAATGACCGAAAAACAGTACTGACCATGTACTAGTCCTGCTGGCACCAACCAGCTGAGCCAGTTTATAGTACTTTTAATAGTAATTAAAATCATTTTTTAATATCATTAAAAATCCTATTTTGGGGGGCTTTCTTGCACTGCACCTGTAGTTCAGACTTATTATTTTACTCACGTCAACTTCACTCAGGATGACGTCTACTACACTACCAACGACGATGATAAAATCAAAAACATTCCAGGGATCACCGAAGTAGCCCTGAACAGAGAAGGACGACAGAAATGAGGTGATAAAGAAAAAAAGACCGGTTAGAAAAGATGTCGAACTTGAACAGACAACAGCGGCGTTTACCCGGGCTTTGAAGGCCATGAGTTTAAGAATCATCTCCACTGTGAAGAGCACTGTGAAGATGAGGTTCAACATGTCTGACAGCTTGGTCACATGGTCCGACTGGTTACAGTGCTGCACAAAGACGACAGCAAATCAGTATCAAATCAGTGATTCGATATCAGACTGAAATGAATCTGTAAAAATCAAGTTCCATACCTGCATCCCCAGACACAAGGTGTTGAGCATAATGAGGAAAAACATGAGGTACTCAAAGTAGGAGGACGTGACAATGTACCAGACCCTGTACTGGTAAGGGTTTTTGGGGATGTAGCACATCAGAGGACGAGCCTTCAGGGCATACTGCACACACTGTCGCTGAAGACAGAGAGAGAACACAGACGAGGATCAACTCAAGGCCCTAATCCTCCAGTACCCACTACTTCATAAGTACCTACTTCCTGTTCACAGTACCTGGTTCTTGTCCAGCTCACAGTCCTTATACTCCTGCTCTCCTTGCTCCTGGAACGTGACGATGACAAAGCCCACAAAGATGTTCATCATGAAGAAGGCGATGAGGATGATGTAGATGATGAAGAAAATGGAGACTTCCACCCGGTTGTTGAAGACAGGCCCCACGTCTTCTGCATCAGAATCGATGGCTCTGTACAACATTCTGGAAGTGTGGGCAGTGCAGAAGACGGTGAAGATCAGAGATCAGAGATACAATCAGACTAATGCAGATGGAATCTATAATTCATTATATTAAAATGATAAACTGCCTCTTTTACACCCCCTGGCTGTTAGGAACAGAAATACTCCCATCTCCATATTCTGTCCTCTAACTTAATCAAATTGATCAGAGATACGATGTGTCCGATCTATATTTATGCTGCGCTTACTTCGGCCAGCCCTCAAATGTGGAAACAGTGAAGAGAGCCAGCATGCCGTTGAGCACGTTGTCAAAGTTGAAGTCATTATTGAGCCACTCCCTCTTCGCCACCACCGTGTCCTGCAGGGAATTTTCCATGTGCTTCAGGAAGAATCCCCTGGGAGCAGATACAGTGAAGAGTCACATGAAAAAAGAAAAAAAACAACCCTGCCTGACTCTGATCAAATATTTATATCTAAAGGACGACAGCCTTACTGGCATTCCTCCTCAGTCATTTTGGAAGAGTCTGTGCAGCTGTAGAATTTACCCTGCGGAAAAACAGGGTTAGGGCTATCAAAATGAATGTGTTTATTACATTAATTAATTAACCAGAATTCCTGAATGCATTTAAACATGTACACCGAATGACACGGACAGTAACGACAATGAGTCCAACATCCATTCACTTATTATAATAACAATAATTGTAGCAAAAAATGCTACAGTTGCTACCTTGTGAATAATACGATTAGAAAACCTACTAACATTATAATATTTCAACCTTGTCTGACGGTGAATCCTACCTTGAAGAGCTGGACACCAATGCAGGCGAACAGGAAGTTCAACAGCATGGTGACCAGGACGATGTTGCCGATGGTTTTGATGGCCACAAACACACACTGGACCACATGCTGTGAACACAGACCAGTGAGATCTCAATACTGAGCACAAGGGGGTGCTACAAAATACCTTTACTCCAAATGTCAGCACTATTGATATTCCTTATGATATAGTATTTATCACATACTTTCAATGTACAGTATATTACAGGAGAAATTACTTATATTCTTATAATACACATGGATGTATACTACAGGTAAATATTTATAATGTAATATTCTCTAAATATTATCTAATTAAAGCTAACATGTCACAAACTTTTGAAAGGTGTGTTTTACCTTCAAGCCTTTAGCTCTGTTAATAGCTCTCAGAGGCCTCAGCACCCTCAACACCCTGAGAATCTTCACCACGGAGATGGCACTGGACCTGCAGTCACACAGAGGAAAGTGTGTTTACCTCAACAGACCTAATGTCAGGGGAGAGAAAGAAAGGTGGGAGAGAGAGAGAGAGAGAGAGAGAGAGAGACTCACTCCATTCCCATGGACAGCAGGGAGACTGTGACCACGATCAGATCCAGGATGTTGAAGGAGTTACGACAGAAGGATCCTTCATGCATGAACGCACCATAGACTGTCATCTGTCAGATCACAGTGAAACACAGATTACTGCAGTGAAATGGTAGTATCTCACTGCTACTACTTTTATACAGAGAAATACAGAGAAGACAGGTACTTTTTTCTACAATATTTTATGTCAAATTATGTCACAAAAACATAATCATTCTGTTGTTACATTACGATGTATTGTGATGCTTTACATCATACTACTAATAATGCCCATCACATGACCTTAGTTCATATTTACCTTTAATACAATCTCAATGGTGAAGACTGTTGTGAAGACAATATCAGCATAGGCCAAGATCTAGAAGAAAGACGCAAACAGAATTGATGCCATGAAAGATGAACTTCCTTCAAACGTCACTGTCCATAAATGCTGGCTCTGACTGGTCACCTGGTTCCTGTAGGACTTGGGATCAATGGGGTCTTCAGCTGCCAGGGAGATGGAGGACAGCAGGATGAACAGGAGGATTAAGTTGGTGAAGGAGGAGGCGTTGATGATCTTGTAGCACAGCTTTCGGAACCTAGACAACAGAGAAAAGGATCAAACTAAGACTCATGAAAACAGACTCCAGGTTGGTGTTATGTACGAGGATCATTTGGTTCCTACTTGTTCTGAGGACCAAAGATGAAGAAAGAGCTGGCTTCAGGCAGTGGGACGGCTTCCTCCTTCAGCTGGAGGTCAGCCATTGGTCGTGGTCGAGGACTGATGGGGATTTCAGGCTCTTCTTCCTCATCATCACCTGTCATGTAAAAAAAAAAATTACATATATCTTTACGATATTTAAACATCAATTTTTATCAAATGTATGAGTGGGTTGTAATGAAAAGAAAATCTAAATTCAAACTTGAACTTATACGTATTCTCATGCTTTATATGGTAGTCACCACAGGAGTGTGAAAATAGACTGACTTTATAAAAACACAGCTCATGGACTTGACTGAGTCTAATAATAATTAGAGGTTACTATACTGGTACTGTCACTTAGCCAAAGGTCTCTGGTAAACAGCCAGTGTAATGAATACAAATTCCTGCAACCACTAAACTCCTTCTGTTACAGCAGCAGAGCTGGAAGAAGGCGAAGTGAAGGGCAAGAAGAGCAGAGGTTAACACATGAGCATTTTTAGAAATACAGTAAATATAAACAACAAATCTTAAGTGATGCAGCAGAGGTGCAGAAAAAAACAGTTAAAAGTGTGGGTTTTTATTTACTGGCCACCTTTATTTTATTTGTTAACTACACATTACTTGAAAGGAGAAAAAGTTTGTCTTGTTTATATTACTTGCTCTGTGGCTAGTATATATGATCACAAGTCGATCAAAGATTTCAATTGTTGCAGTTTTGTTGACCTTTTTAATCTAATGATGAAAAAGAAAAAAAATTACAATTCAGAGTGAAGACATTATTGAAATTAGACTCATCTGCCTTGCTTTGCCCACCCTGCAATAGCTCCACATCTCACTTGGGGACCTCATCCCCTACTTTAGGAACCATAGTCTTAATGGGAGCATTCTGTACTGCACTGTATGTCTTTTTAAGTCATGTCTCCACCATATCATCACAGGGGTTGGTGTTTACAGCTGAAGTTTTTTTTAATCTTCAGGAATTACACGATGTGGTCTTACCTGGGAAGTCTGCAGGTGGGAACGGATCCTTCACTTCATTCACATTGGACTCAAACTCGTCAATTTTAAGCTGTAAATACAACAGAAATATAAAATACAGACATGTGCTCGTAGCGTGCACGGCTTCTCATGTTTGTAATGAATCCGGCTCTGACCTTGGCCGTGGTCGGCATGCCCTCTATCTTAGCTCTCTGCTCTGCCAACTTTTTCGCAATCCTCTCCCTCTCCTCATCTGTCTTGTCAGGCATTTTGGACCTGGACACCATAGAGTAAAACGTAAGGGACACACACACACATACACACACAGACATACACACACTTTTATTTTCTGAGATTTGTTCGGGAATTTAATGGTATAGTATTTTACTGTGATCAAAGGTTGGCGTACCAAAAAATTATATATTTTTATGACTTTTAACCACAGAAATAGACATAGCTAAGTATTTTAAGGCAAAT